CACGTGTCCCCAGGTCAGCCAGAGTATCATGCCCCCAACGTAACCCCGGCTGGCTGACGCTCTCTCGCTCTCTCAACGGGAGCCCGCTCCGCACGCTGTGCGTGGTGCCACGGCGCTCACCCAGCGCTCACCCAGCCCCCTCTAGGACTGGTACCACACCACGTGTCCGGAGTGTACCCACAAGAGTAGACATCCCGCCGCGGCCGTCTCAGGCCCCCCGGCACCACACAGTGACATTCCCAGTCGCTACAATTACATCGCTGAAGTCTATCTAAGCAATGTTCCTTTCGGTGTCGCCACGCCTAAATGTGTGTTCGTCCATCAGCTGATGGGCATTCCAGGCCAATATTATGCAGCAGCGTCTGTTAAAGCGAGCTAACCAAAGTCTCGCTGCCAACGTTTCCATTCGTCGTTGCAGTGACGTCACTGGAGGTCTCTTGGCCGCAACGTGAAATGCTTTTTTTCTGATTTTGGTGAGGACTCTCGGTTTAATGTTGATCGGGCCTTTAATGTTCTGACGCTGCTTTGTTGTCACCTCGGAAGTTGAAGAACTTGGTTCATGGCTGTTGTGAGACTGACCGATCAGTGGAAATATCCTGTGAGCTAATGGGTCAGTCTGGCTCTGTACGCACCACGTGTGAGTTTGCATGCGTAGAAGCTTACGGACACGTAGAATAATGCACAGAACCACACAAGACATTCACCTCCACATGCATAGAGACACAGATTCACACATATACACAGAGACACATTAATGCGCACACAGGCACACTAAGCCACTTTCACACACACATTCATACACATGGAGATACACAGAAGCTCACACATAGGCAAAGACATACATGCAGAAGAAACTTAATTACACACAAAGATGTACACATCGAGAAACAGGCACACATTCACACATAATAATTAGTCACGCACGTAAAAGCACACAGACATACGCACACAGCTAACAAGACACACAGATACACACAAGCAGAGATCGAAACTCAAATGTAGAGGGAAAAACAAGCTTAGAAGCACATCGACACAGAGACAAATATCAAAAAGACGCATACACACAGATGCCGGAGATACACACGGACACACGCAATGCACTCGTACCGAAATGCCTCAACAGTATAGAAAGTAGGTTGTATGTACCGCAACGGACCAATTTGTGTGGCAGAGTTTTGAGTGTTGTCCCCTCGTGTGCAAGGTGGGGTCTTCTCCGGGCTCTGCGGTTTCTTCCCACCGCAAACAACCCGCGTGTAGAGAGAGTGAGAGCACTCGCTGCTGTGTGACGAATCGGCCAAGGATTCCAGATCGGGGACAACTCGGGTCAAGGGTTCCGATAGAATCGGTCTCAGTGAGCCACCCAAACTCGACTTAGAGCATGAGTTTGCCGTTCCGTGAGAATCGGTCTCAGTGAGCCACCCAAACTCGACTTCCCTCCTCCTCCTCACCACATCGTCACAATACGGCCGGAGAGGAAATACTTCGCCAAACGTGTTGCGATCAAAATGTTGCACCCACAACGACATTTCACGGCCAATTTGATGCATTTGTTTCGGTAACACGGTTGCTGAGCAAAGGGCCCCAACATGTAAAATGGACAGCAGCAAACGGTGCCGTTGTCACAGTTGTAATGGAGTGTAACGCGTTTGTTGAATTGAGCAAGGTTATTATCAAGAGCTTGGGGCGGGGGGGTGGTTAGATGATGGGAGATAACTCCAAAGGGCAGCAGTGCAAGGGGAAGAAGCAGAAAGGGGCCGTCCATAAATGACGTCACGCACCTGGGGGGGGGGGGTCAGAAATGTGTGACGAGGGGAGGGGGTTGAGAAATGTGACGTCACAACAAAATGCGCAACTTTAAATAAATATAGACAACACGTTCTATTTAATTAGTTAGACTCTTTATCCTACAACATCAGAGTGCAGCGCCACATTAAACACGCACTACAATGACAATAGTTTAACGCGATTTGAAGCATGTTTTATTTTTGGGGGGGGAGGGGGGCAGAGCTTTGTGACGTCATATTTGAGGGGGGGTCTGACTTTTTGTGACCGTGTGACGAAGGGGGGGGGGGGGTAAAAATCGTCCAAAATCGCGTGACGTCATTTATGGACGGCCCCATGGGCGGAGGAATCAATGAGTGAAATTCAACTTGTTCAGAAAAAGTGATTTTGACCTTTGACTCCGATCTCTCTCCGAGACAGATCTGCTGGCAGATCTTTCTCGACTAACCTGGCATATCATGGAAACGCCATTTATATATATAAAACTCGTGCTGTCCTTCAAGCTTGAGTTCTGGGAGATATCGGACCAACTTGGGGCAGATCGGGTTGACAGTCCCATGGGAACCACGGTGTTTCGAGCTCGGCTCAGCTCTCGGCATGGGCTTTGTGGTGGATCGTGATATGTTGCGATTGTAAGAATCATTTGGAATATGCAGCTTGCGCATGCTTCCTTCGCTCTCAAGAAGAGACGGCGAATGATTCGGAGCGCGCGGAAAACAACAGACGAGCGAACAAGGCAGCTGGCTGCCAACAATTGCCCGAGCTGCGTGGCCCTGAATGCGAGAGGGAGCTGAAGGAGATCCCGGAGAACCCACACCTGACAACGCCCCCACCCCCCACTCCCCACTCCCATGGGAGTCTTCTCATGTCTCTTGTGTCCGCATGTGGCATAGATTACAGCAGATGTATTCTTCTTCCTGTATACGTGTATTTGCCAAATATATAGCCACTTGCCATGCATGTGTATGTCTCTCTTTTTCAGTAGTCGGACTCAATAAGATACAGAGCCGGCCGTGAGTGACCGATGTCAATTCTAATGATGTTCTGGAAGGACTAGAGTGCTGAAATGTGATTCATCGTTGAAAATATTAGAATAGAAAGATCAGAAATACATTTTAGACATTTTATCAATTCTGAGAAATGTGGACCGGTGGCGCAGCGGGTAGCGAATTCAGCACACTCCTCTATACACCCAGCAAGACGAGTTCAATTCTCAGCCGGGGCAAACATCAGTGGCGAGTGTTATCTAAATCAGTATTACCTCCCACTTCAACTCACACTACCAAGGTGAATTATGGTTAAACCCACATAAGGAGCGGGGAAGCCTTTAATTGCGTTATTTTGGCCGGGTGGGTGAGCAACATCAGAAGGCTGTGACATTTACACACGATAAGCCACTTCATTGCGCTATCATTTGTGATAGCCAGGTCGCTTCTGAAAAAGAGCTATATAGAGCAGTGGGGGTCTTACCTGGTTAAACATTTTATAGTAAAAAAAAAATCACGGAAGTGACTTCGCCACCGGTTCTGTCGTGGGCCCGGCCAAAAGCGGCCCGCACCCTTCCCAAGGTTGGCTCTGCCACACTCGAGAACCAACCACAACCGATTCTAATCAGAAAGAATTTCAACATACGTAACACAGTGTAACAAAAAAACATAATTTTTTTGTTCCTAGGTAGTGTTATTTTCCAATTGCTTATGCCTCAAAAGCACAGAAAATAGCTATTATTCCCCACAAACTTTGTTTTGTGACCAGGACGGTGATATTTTGAAACATATCTATTTTTAATTAGAAAACGCGGTGTGCATTTGTGTCATTCCTTCACGTAAAGTCCTGGTCGCAAAAGGAAAGTTTGTGGAGAATAATAGCCATGTTCTATACTTTTGAGGAATAAGCAATTAGAATATAACACTTAGTACCCAGGAACAAAAATCGTGTTGCACAGCGTCATCAGAGCGGGCTGCTGCCGTGTGAATGGACGCTGGCTTGGCTCTAGCAGGTTTTGGGCGTGTAGGGAGCGCAACTGCATCGGGCCCCACAGAGGCCGGGTGAGACCAGGTGCCGGGCTGTACAGAGGGGGAAATAGACAGCGAGAGAGCACCCCACCCCCCCACCCCCCCCACCGTTGTATTTCTCGGACCAGGGCCCGTGCCAAATGCACTCCGCCACTGCTCGAGCACGGTTCCTAGCGGCCGTGGAAATGAGGCAACCTGTGATGAGCTGAACTGTTCAGCAGTGGCACGACAAGCCGGGCAAGCCAGTGACATGTGAGCCAGCTCCACGCGGTCGTTCGTTGTGCCTCGTTTTATCTGCGCAATTTATCTCAACAGTCGATCACACTGTGGCCTCAAATGGGAGAAAAATTATATACGTAAAATAGGCGACGTTTTGGGCAATGACCCTTTTCATCGCACATCAACGCATCAGAGTACAGAATACACCTCGTGTCTGAGAGGCGGTCATCTTCCAGAGGTTACACAACTGTCTTCTTGGTGATGCTGCTGTTACCAATGGTGCAGTAAACAAAAAAAACTACTATGAAACTCATTCATCAATAACATGTGGCCTTAAAAGACATTTTTTTGCACGGTATATAATCGGCGGTATTTCGTGACCATGACCATTTTTCAAAGCACCCAGAATGGCTGGTTAGGCGCTCGCACGCATTTCGCATCACGCAAAAATAAATGTCACGTATCACGACATCAGAATCCTCTAATTATTAGGCCGGCATCTCGTACAGACGGATTGACACATAACACCAATTAAAATATACACGCCGGAGTTTATTTTTATGTTGTAGAAGACATCAGACACGACATTTCAGGAATAGGTAAAAAAAAATGCGTGTTCACTATATGGACATGGAGGGGTCATTTTAAAACCTGCCCGGCACCGTGACAAAACATGACAAGCCAAACAGTCTCCAGTGCAGCGACTGAACCAAAAAGAACCCTGTAGCGTGATGTGGTTTAAGGGGGGGGGGGGGGGGGGTCGGGGGGGGGGCATACAAAAACTCGAGGGGTACAGAAAACAATGGTGACTGGAAGACGCCAACAAGGCTCCTAATGGGGCATATTGACTGGCGGCAGCTCCCCCTGTGTGGGGCTCTAAGACTAAACTATCAGATTCTTCTTCTTGTTTTTTTCGGTAAAGTCACGTAGAAGGGAAATAATAAAAATAAAACATAATAAAATAACATTTTATTATAAAACATAATAAAATCATATTTTATTATGTTTTATTTTTATTATTTCCCTTCTACGTGACTTTACCGAAAGAACCAAGAAGATGAATCCCTGCAGTCACAAAAGCTTTCAATCGAAATATAAGATTATTATTTTATTTCTATTATTTTTACTAATTTTAATTGCATTTTTTACCTACGTGACTTTACCGAAAAAAAACCTAAGAGTATGAATCCTTGCAGTCACGAAAGCTTCAAATCTAGAATTAAACTATGAGAATTTAGGAGGGCCGAGCCTTGAGCAGAGGGGGGGGGGGGCTCAGTCCCCTATAGCCCCCTCCCCCCCATCAACACGAGTGGAGGCACTGCACACGAGCCACGCCAGCAGGCCGAGTGACGTGAGCAGCAGCGACTCCCCCTTCCTGCTCTTAGTTCTTTCGGTAAAGTCACCATGTAGGTAAAAAATGAAATTAAAATTAATAAAAATAAAACAATAAAAATCACGACGTTTCCGAGGCAACACAAGTCTCCGTCGTCAGGTGGGACCGTCACAGCCAGATTTGCTGCATCAAGTGAGGGAGGGATTCAAGATGTAAGCTCTTAAGTACCAGTTAAGGGGGGAGGGAGAGGAGGGGTTTATCCGAATGTGGTAGCCAATGAATGGAACGTATCGGGAGGGGGCGGGGCTAACAGAGGGACGGGGTACTCGTGGTCGTGGTCAACGACGTGTTTGTGCGCAAGTCACTGTGGATGTACATAATAGAAAAGCAACGAAAATGCCCATGTTTATACCAGTGTTGGCTGACAGGCTGCAAATCGTAGATATTATACGTGTATCATCGCGGTTTCTGAGCACAAGCCCAATATGCCAAGTGGCCAGTAACAAAAAACACTTTGTATAAAATAGATATATTTTAGAATTCATGCAGTTAATACGAAAAATTGAATGGCAGTGGCATCATCATGAGAGCTTTCTCTGCCGGATGTGCGAATGCTAAAATTATTAAAAACGATTATTCTATTTTTATTTGACCAGATAAGGCCCGCTGAGCCATGTAGCTCTTTTTCAGAAGCGACCTGTCCACAAATGATAGCTCAACTAAGTGGCTTATCATGTGGAAATTTATAACAACCAAATACTCGAAACGCATGTTTCTAAATGTGAGTGGGAACCCCCAGAGAACCTGGAGAAAATCCACGCGACCACGGGGACAGAGACATGCAAACTCCAAATATACAGCAGGCGTCAGGGTCGAACCAACGACCTCCTGTATACCAGGTGAGGCAGTTAACATCTCGCAACTGTGGCACCCTGCAGCCTGTAGAGCCCTATATAACTGGTCTGGTGGGAGCCCAAAAATGGTACATTAACATAATTATCATCACACATTGCGTGCACAATAATCTCAGTCACGTGTCCTCTCCATTCAAATACTAAGTCAGTTGGTACCTACTTGCACGTGCCCCATTACTGCAAAATCACAATATTTAGACTGGTGGAACCTGATGAGTAATGCAGCTTTTCTTCACAGATGTCCAGTAGCGCACCCCCATCCCATGACGTACAGAGCTATTATCTTCTCCATCAGCTCGGGCACTTCACGTACAAAGACAAATATCCACCGTATAGTCTTTCACAGACTGTTGGGGCAAGTGCTGTTAGAGAGCACCTGTGAAGGCCAACACGGAACACAGAGGGGTGGGTGGTGGCCAGGACCCCGCCTGGGCTGCATTTGTCTCCCCAATGGTAACGTGTCACACACCGCACTAGGCACACACATAGAAGGCCGAGTTGGCCTTGGGAAGTCCAAAACCAGTTCACATGTTCGTCACTGAAGGTGGCCGAATGAGTCGCCAGGCTTGTTGTGCAGTGTGCTAACCACCACTGTGCCACCATGTGACGCACCTACACACAAATTGTCTTAACTTCAATTAATAATCATCTCTGCGTCATGTGGGACACACGTACTTAGAACTTCCGTTCTCTAATTACAAGTGGAACATGTTTTGCAATCACCAGGCGTGTGCAGCTTGTAACCTCTGGATTTGTATTTGAACGCATGACACTTGGTACAAAACTCAAGAAGACGTGCGACAGCGAATCGCGAGGATTGGGGTTTGAGAGAAACCCTGAACGCCAAAGCGGAGCGCGTCGCTCAAACTGTGGACCAGGAGCTTACACCGGGCAAATGAACGCGATTCACCAATAAAAGCACAATCTGTCGCGTCGGCAATGCAAAATGACAAACCTAACGAGCCAGTGCCACAAGGAAGTATCCGTGTGCATCGCAGAGATTATTTACATCGCAGTCCAGCTAAGCTAACCCAATTGTGAGATTCCACACAATAAAAAAGAAACACTCAACAGAGTATTTACTTGCACATTATTTGCGCTCGAGTGTGTTTCCCACAAATCGCAAGCCGGTACATTAAGCGAGCCTCACTGCATACCACCCCTTATTTCACGTGAACCCTTACAAGCTGGGAGGCGATATTACATTGAGAGTCTCTGTTACAGCAATTACGTACCCAAGACCCTGTGTTAATTCTTACAAGCCAGGCAATCCCAGCACGATAATCAAGCCTCCGCAAAGTAGCGGCGAGTGCCTATTAATCAGTTTTAACCCTTACAAGTTAGTCAACGCATCCCATTAACAGAGTTTCAGTATTACAGCATCACACACCTCGGACTGCGTCAAATAATTAAACTCTGAACCCTTGCAACTTCTACACGCCAGGCAAGCCAGTGCAACAGGGAAGTGCTTTGCTATAGTGGCACGTACCCATCGCTGTTAACCCTTAGAAGCTAGGCAAGCCAGTGCCTAGTCTCTATGTTACAGTGGTGCCCATTCAAGACCCCGTAGCAGTGGGTACCCATGACTGTTAACCCCTACGAGCCAGGCAATCAAAGAGTCTCTAGCCGTATGGCGGTGCACACACCAATTACTGTGTGTTCACTCGTACGATATAGGCAAGCCAGCGCAATAAGCGTTTGTTACAGCAGTCTCTACCCATTACCACGAGATAACCCTCGCAAGTTCATGAAGCTAATCAGGGAGTCTCCGCGTTAAAGAGCGTTATGCACTTCAGACTCTGCGTTAACCCCTTTACCCTCCTCATAGCCCCTACAAGCCAGGCAAGCCAACGTAGCCGGCACGGCATGCGGGCACAGCACAGTCACACGACCCCCTGTTGTTGTTGTTGTTGTCTCGCGGCCCAGCCGGACAGGGATTCACGCGGGTCGTGGCCTTGGCAAAGGCGGCCCAGATTGTGGGGTCATCGGTGCACACTGTTCCGCCCCCCCGGTACTCCTCGCCGCGGTTACGGTTGATGTCACCCACGCAGGTCCAGGCCCCGCCGCTGGTGGACCCGCCTGTCTGCGACACACACCACTTGGAGTGGTCCTCCTCGGAGGAGAAAGGGGCAACGCTCGGCAGGGAGATGGAAGAGACGCGGCAAACGCAGAACTCGCCCGAGCAGTTTGAGTCGAACACCCCGACGCCGTGGACCCACGATTCCAGATAGAGGCTGCTCTTGAGGTTGGGTGCCACCAAGTCAACGTACAGATCTGACGCACGCACAAAGACAAAGATCTCCCATATAGCTTTTAACAGACTTTTCGGGCGAGTGCTGTTGGCGAGAAAATATCAAGGCCGGCATGGCACACGAGGGGGTAGGTGGCCAACACCATGCCCGGCCGCCTTTGTCTCCGCAGCGGCAATATTTACGCACCGCACCAAGTAATCATTTGAGGTTAAGTCGACCTAGGTTCAGGACCGGTTCAGATAATTGTCACTGGTGTTGGTAGCGAGCAGGAATTGAACTCGGGTCACGAGTTCGTAAGGCAGTACACTAATTGCTGCACTACTGCTCCCCACACCCACACGGCCAACACATACACAAGATTCCCCATATAGCCTTGAACAGACTATTGGGGAAAGTGCTGTTAGCGAACACCAATTAAGGCCGTGAGTGGGAATTGAACTCGGGTCGCCGAGTTCGTAGTGCGACTCGCTTACCGTTGCACTGCCGCTCCCCACACACGCGTGCGTACACACACGTACGCACACGTACGCACACGTACACACGCGTGCGTACACACACGTACGCACACGTACACACGCGTGCGTACACACACGTACGCACACGTACACACGCGTGCGTACACACACGTACGCACTTGTACACACGCGTGCGTACACACACGTACGCACACGTACACACGCGTGCGTACACACACGTACGCACACGTACACACGCATGCGTACACACACGTACACACACGTACACACACGTGCGCACACGTACACACGCGTGCGTACACACACGTACGCACGGGGAGGCGATTTAAGCTTTTGGGCTTAGATGCCACCACTTCCACGTACTAGGTGTGACGTGTGCACACATGGAAAGGCAATTCTAAGCGGGTCAGCATAAGAGGGGCATTAGCTAGTCACAGCAAGCCCTCAACTCACTACTGAAGGGTCTCGAGTTGAAATCCCATTCCGGAGTTTGACTCAGCCCATCATCATTATGCCCTACCCATATGCTGAACGGTGCTGTGTTCAGTGCTGCACCGGGAGAGTTGCTTCTGGGGCACTAGAGTAATTGAGATGAAATGTGATGCAATGCACTTTGAATTGCACAGACATTTAAGCATCCTGTAAATCCGTATCATAATCGTTGTGGGATAAGAAAATATGTAAAAGCATTCACTCTATCAAGAGACTGTCCACCACCAGCAGCAGCATCATAACTGAGAATCGCCCACACTCTCCTATCTGAATGATGTCAAGCTGTCGATTCTTGATTATAAATTCACTTGCAGTTGTATTTGACACAAATCATGTACCTGTTTACACACTCGTGCAATAATCATCCCAAGTCTATGTTGATGTTTCTGTAACGTAGTTTTACGATGAAAGTTTTTAAAAAGTAATTTGTCCGAGGCCAACTTTTGTTATGGGAAATTAATTGTATTTATTATGAATTATGTTTCAGCACTGTTTTCCATTTCCTATGAAACCATGTTGTTTTTACTCTCATTCTTATTTGGTTGTGTTTGCTTCAACTTCCATCTTATTCATCGCTGCACCATGTTATTTGCATTATATCACTTCTGCTTCCATCATTTATATCACCCAGGTGACTGCCGCCGATGAATTCTCACCAGGTTAAACAAAATAAACTTGAACCCTCTCCAAGGCAGACTACAAGCCCGGGCGTGACTACAAGCTGCACGGGGAGGGGGCGGCCAGGCCAGTCCAACAAGCGAGCCTCTATGCGGACCGGCGAGTGCGTGCACCACGGACGGACGACGACGACGTGACTCACCGTCGTCGAAGTGGTGTGTCTTGGCGAAGCTGCGGAAGGTTTTCCCGGCGGAGGAGGTGAGCTCGACAACACGCGTCGTGGACTCCACCTGCAGTTTCGTTTTGGCGCACAGCGCCTGCAGGTCGGGCAACTTGTCCTGGAGCTGGGCCCCGACTTGGCAGCTGTAGTGGTCCGGCTCGTTGTAGCGCAGCTGCAGGGCTGTGATGAATATCGCCGCGTCATTATCGTCATCAACGTCATCATCGTCGTCATCATTGTTACCATCATTGTCACTATCAATATCATCATTTTCATGTCAGCGCCACTATCGTCATCTTAGTCGTCATTATCGTCATCATGGTCGTCATCATCGTCGTCATCATTGTTACCATCATTGTCACTATCAATATCATCATTTTCATGTCAGCGCCACTATCGTCATCTTCGTCGTCATTATCGACGTCATCACCGATAGCCCTATTATTATAAGCATCATCAGCATCATCACATATGCACGTGAGAAGCCTATTACCAAGCCAGCGAAATAAGCGTTTGTTATAGCAGTCTGTACCCATTACTCAGAGATAACCCTCGCCAGTTTGTCAAGCTACTCAGTTCTCTCCAAACTCTCAGGAGATAAGTAGCGTTGAGCCTGGATAGCGCATGGATGGATGGCCACTGTTCATAATTGGTGTTGTACGCTGCGAGGCTACAAAACATGGTGGGAAACACCGGGGAGATAAAGGCAGCTTGGTCACGCCAACTTCTCTCGTGCGCAGCGCCCTCCTTCACAGATGCTCGCGAACACCACCTACCGGTTACATGCAGGAATGTCTTTGTGCGTGTCTGTGCGTAACTCTGGCGCAGTTGGACCGGTAGGGGGCACAGCTGGTGCAGCTAACTGCCAGTCATCTCAGCCAGTCAACCCATGGCACCTAGGTCACGTGGCCTCTTGCCTAACGCCCTTAATGCCACCACTGCCGCAGCCTCCACCTCGCTACCTCCACCCTAGTCACTACCTGATCCCCATCCCTTGTCTTACCATTTTGTACTGTAGTCAACAAGTAATGTTAAACGCCTTGGTGAAAGGCACTTTAAAAATACAACAAAATAGAATAGAATCGTTGTCGTTCTTGTTGTTGTGCGTGCGTGCGTAACACAGCGCGCCCACCGATGTCGCTGAACTGGTCGAAACCGTAGGAGACGCACAGGAAGGACTGGCCGTAGCGCAGCGCCGTGTGGGGCCATGCAAACGGCCCCGGCACCGACGGCGGGAAGTGCGGCGTGCTGTGCACGAGCCAGAAGCCGCCCGCCCCGTCCAGCATCACGACACCTGCACAGGGGAAGGGGCAGCAGGGGCAGCAGCGGCCAGCGTGTGACCACCACAGGGGCAATGCCATACGTGGGAGAAAGGGGGCCAAGGCAAACTGCATGTGGTGGAGGACACGAGCCCTTACTGTGACACCAGACCTAGCCCTGAACCTCGTGTAAAAACAGCAATAATATTTACGTAATAATTTATAATTGCGATGCGCCGCAGAGTGTTTCGCCCACTCATGAAGAGAGAGAATGACTCGGAGGCATGAGTAACCCTCCCCAAGCTCTATGGTCCTATTAATGCAATATCAAACGATTACTTCATGATTACATGTCGGAGGAAACCAGAGCACCCAGAGAAAGCCAAGCGTGCAAGGGGGCAATAATCTATCCCATACAGATGGAAACAGATGGAGATTGGTCCACTTGCTGTACTGCCTTCTTCTGGCTAGCCAGGGTATGGCACCTCCTTGTCCACGGGAAGGGAGTTTAACGATATGTGTACGATCCACCAACCCTCGCTGCCTCGACAGTGCCGGATTACCGGCGTTCACAGCCACCATTACCCGCTCAAGGGTGGGAGCTAACACCGAAACAGAATAAACCACCATCCAACCTCCGGCGCCAGCTCCTGCAGTCCCTCCCCTTCCTTGGAAATTGTCCAAATGAGCGACCTTCCCAGGAGGCCCTCCTGGAAGAGCCTCCGGACGAGCTCCCCTCCTATCCCAAAGTCTTGGCCGTCACGGTCATTCTGATGCAGCCACGAGGCCTGTGACTGCCCTCTCCGCCTCCTCCTACTCCTCCTCTATCACAGAACATCCGGTGGGTAAGGTCAACCGAGAGGAAGGAAGGAGCCACATTGCCCACGTGTGGCATGTAGGGATATGGCTCTATCCATGATCCTGACACTTAACAAAAGTAACCAACAAAACTAAAACCTGAGGCCTCATCCACACTGGAATAGCCAACCAGATCGTAACAGCAGCCAAATTTATTTCCCGAACCACAACCAACTAACAAAAGCTCAGAAATAGCTCCGCCTCAAATCCTAATCACACCAGCCAATTAAACCCTAGTAGTAGCCATAACCTAAATGCCCTAGCAAACTAGATGCTAGCCCAGCCCTAGTTCTATCCCACACTCATGAAGCAAACCGAGGCAACAGCTATTCACGTAACCACAATGCCCCCCCCTTCCCCAGTATTAGACGATGCCCTTCCTCATTGGTGTGCAATTTTTCCTGAGTCACCAAAAACACTGAGATTCGAACTCAAGTCCCCCCCGCCCCCACCCCAATCCGTGAAACGCGAGGGTGGGCGGGGTGCAAGGGACAGCGTGATGCGGGCCCCCACCTTTGGTGTGGCCGCAGATGCTGTCGTAGCGAGGGGAGTTGGGTGGTTCATCGTTATAGAGAACGAAGGCGACGTCGCCGGCCTGCACGCCACACGACAACGTGCGGGTGTCGCAATGAACGCGACGAGGAGAGGCTCATAAAGGACACTACAAGTATAATATCAGAAAATCATCTTTTCCTCTGGCCATGACTGCCTTCACCTCCAAATTCAGAAACATGCATTGAGGTTATTGAAATTATTTTGCCGTGAAAAATATACAAATAATTGGTCACTTTGCTGACCTATCATTTGTGGCCAGGTTGCTTCTGAAAAATAAGTTAATACCTTAGCGGGATTTGCCTGGTAGGATAGGGAAGGTTTCGTTTTATTTGTACGTGTTTTGGGTGATTTGTTTAGCTTTCCTGAACTTTGCACTACGATCCTGTTTTCGTGTTGTTTGTTGTTGTAACTTTCTTACCCGCCCCTGCTGGACATCTGTAAAAAATAGCTTTATAGCTTATCAGATGCTTCCAGTATATTTCAATATTCTGATCCTGATCTTTCCTGTCTGTATGGCCAAAAACATCTTAATATCCAGAGGACTGCAGAGCTCAGGCAATTGTTGGTAGAGCTGGCTCACTGCCTGGCTGTTGCTTTCCAACTTGTCTTTGGTCCCGCAAGAGATTATGACGTGCAAATTGCATGAATAACGACGACGCTGTATGCGACTAAACCTGATTATCTTCTTGTTTCTTTCGGTAAAGTCACGTAGAATGGAAATAAGAAAATAATAAAAATAAAACATAATAAAATAATTCTCACGACGTTTCGGCCACAACGCAAGCAGCCGAAAGAACCAAAAAGATGAATCCCTGCAGTCACGAAAGCTTTAAATCGGAAAAAAAAAAATCTGATTATTATCATCATTATACTTGACGCGCTCGGGATAAAAACAGCATCGCGTCACAGCCACTTGCCAATGGGGCCGATTCATGCTCGAGGTTCCTTTTGTTTGCCTTTCTGGTGAAAATCTTCCTGTGCCTCCTATTCGCCAACTCAGGAGCAAACCGCCAAGTCGATGAGGTTTTGGCCGCGTTTGTTTTGGTTCCAAGATGCAAATCGGAATGTCCCCTCGCTGTCACGTCCGGGGAGCAGTGCTCGCTCAGGGGAGCACGTGTGGGGGATGAAGGGGATGTTTTTTGCGCAACAGCTGAGCAGCCATGGACTCTAAGGTTGGGGACAAGAGGTCAGTCACCTTGGTGGGTGTTCAGGCCTCACTTTTCAATAGCTTTGATCGTGTTGATGACATCTTAAGGGAGACTCTCAATGCATATTATCAGGATGGCACTGTGCTGAGATGTTTGACCTAATCTTTCATCCTAACTGATAAAATCCCAATCTTTTTTTCACCAGGGGGGATGGAAACAGTCCATTACGACAAACATGTAAGCATGGTCTTGTTCACAAGGATGACCTTTGATGGTTTTCAGGTTATAGATCTAACCACTCATAATTAATCATCTTGGTGGCGGTGTTCGGGCCTCGCCTTGATAAGTATTTGGGCCTCTCATTGGCACTGTTTGGGTCTCACCTCGGTCGTGTTCCCGTTGTAGAGCTGGTTGACCGTCTGGTAAACAGGGCTGGAATTGTCATCGACATCAACTTGGGCCTTCTGCCAGCTCTGCGTTGATTTGTCCAAGTAGAGGTAATCTTTTCCCTTGGGCAGCTTGTAGACTATGAACCTGCGAGACGCGATTGGGGAAGGGTGGGGACGCAGCACACGAAACTCATGGGTACCACCTTTGGACATTGAGTCCGTATCCAAAACCTATTTTCCACTGGCACATCCGAGCCAAGCCGGGGGCCCTCGCTGTACGGGTGGTTTTAAATTGGCTATTCACAGTGCTGACCCGGAACCGCACCGTGATATGCCAGCCTCACAACACATGTGAATGTAGCCCGGGACCAAGCAGGGCCAGAGGCGGTGCTAAATACGTGTGTGTGTGATGTCAGAGAATCGTCTACATACATCTCGACTGCAGTGGAACACAAAACTGGCGCCTCTTGAACAGTGTGGTATATATGCCTTTTCCAAAAACATATATTTATAGTGATATTGCCTATTTTTTATGTAATAGATTTTCTTATATATATGGATTCAGCGAGTTCCAAGAAAAAATGCAGCACCGCCGCCAACGTGAGCAGCGTGCCGACTCAGCAACCACCCGGCGGTGGAGAGAGACTGATGGTGCAGCCGAGAGCGCCGTGTGTTCGACACACACACACACGCCGACCCAGCGCCCCTGCTGGGGACCCGAGGTATGTTCAGTGCAAGGAACGCCGCACCGTCAGAACCGCTATAAACACATTCCTGCGGAGGGAGCTGGTAGCAGAGGTCGCAATCGGGTACCCGATACCCGTACCCTACCCGATACCCGGCTACCCGTACCCGGCCGGGTACCCGGCCGGGTACGGGTATCCGTTTGCGACCCTGGTGCGGCCGGGTATGGGTACGGGTAAGGAATCAAAACCCGTTTGCGACATCTGGCTGGTAGGAACGTTGGGTTGCTCGGTCAATGGCCAGGGTCAACGGCGGCGTGGTGTATTCCACAAATATGCCCGACTGTGAGGGCGGGCACAAGCCGGCGTGAGTAGGTTAAACGTTGAGTTTTATAAGGGCACCACGGGGTGACCAGCCCCTCCCCATGAATATTGTTATATTTACGGACTTCTCCTACCACCATGTATGGTCGTGCTACTCTGAGGAGTTAGCGGTGGAGAGAGACTGATGAATATTGTTTTAACAACGAAACCATTGAGGGTTAATTTTACGGATCGATGAGTAGGACATCTACAGGAGTACGGTAGTGGTAATTCCGATCACATATTAGAGAGTTTTTAGATATTAAAGTTGCTTAACACAGAAGAGTCTGAGTGGTTCCTTCCTAAGTTCATGCATAATAATATTAATTATGAGATCTGTATCCTGCGGCGACATCTGAATCCTGAGACCGGACATAATTGCACTAAAATCATAATCAGTAAAAGTTCAGCGAGAATCATTGTATTATCACGATTTGTAATACAACCCTAGACAATGAAGCTGAGCATCACATCACACACAAATGACTCACAATAAACACACCCCTAGGCAACGAAGCCAAGCATAATTTGCATAATCACATGTATTTGCATAATTAAAAAAATTCATAATTTCATTAAATTACATTTTTCATAAAAATGTTTTTTCAAAACCCAATATATACAACAACAACAGCTCGGGGCTGGCTCGCATGTGCAGTGGAATGTAGGAATCAGTGATCTGCTTTCAGGTCTGGCGGTTGTCTTTATACATCCCACGATTGTAAACAGCATCTTGAGATGCCGTTTCAATTTGATCAGGGGTGGGGAACCTTTTCCTTACCAAGGGCTGAATAGGAGTTTCAAATTCCTTTGACAGGGTCACGCATTAACAGTTCACCTACAGCAGGGTCTAATGGCTGCGAGCCTGAATACATGTGGCCGATGGGGTACTGCACGAGGCGGAATGTTCCCTTTTCTTGTCAGGTGGAGTACAAGAGAATAAACACAACTATTTTGCCTCTGTTACCCCCCATAGACTGAAACTCCATCAAGGCTCCTGCCCATGCCCAAGTCCAGGCTCAAGACCCTTCCTCTGGCCATGACGGACTTCCCCTATCTCTGCAAAATGCAAATCACTTTAAAATAGATGATGCAGCATATAACTCATGATCAGAAAGTTTTGAATTCAAATCCTGGTCGTGTGCGGTCACATGACATTTGTTTCTGGAAATAGAACCACAAAGCCCGATCTCCTAACACCCAAGTGTCAGTACTCTGATCTCGAGACTCGTTCTTCTGCAGCCGAGTCTCGATAAAGACCCTAATGTTGATGATACCCAGTCTCCTAGAGTTGAGTCTCAATCAAGACTCCGGTCCTGAGACCCCGTCTCGTGAAGCAGAGTCTCTCTGTAGAGAGTGTGTGCAGGTGTTCGTGGTTGGGCAGCGTGCGAGGCACGTACCAATCCACGGATTTCCCCTCCCCGTTGAGGCAGGAGACGTGACACCATGTGGTTCCCGTCATTGAGAAGAGGAGGAACACCACCAGAGACATCGCCCCCTCCTAGACAAATCATCACCACCAACATCACTATCTTCAATGGCATCGCAAATGCCACCATCGTCATCACAATGTGCCATCACCTTCACCATTAGCACCATCACCAACCTCATCATCATTATAATAAGATATGATCATATATATATAACCATAAACAATTTTACTTCCAAAATTACCATCATCACCATTGTCATCATCGTCTTGAGTTAACATAATCAGCTATCACCATCATCCTTATCATTATTATCATCACTATAATCGATTATCATCATATATAACCATGAACACTATAATCACCACCAACACCATCAATATCTCCATCATCAACCATTATCATCATCACATACAGCAGGCCGAGTGCTCGGCTTGTTGTAGTCAAGGTTGCGGGTCGGCCTTGTGTGCCCGTGAGGGCGAGTGCTAGGGGTAGATTTTATGTTGTGGTCAGACTAGTGCTTGTGCCGGTGTGATGGCTAGTTTCAGTTTCTTTTTCATTTATTAGGTATAACCCTGTGAGCCATGCGGCTCTTGACTCGGTGCAACCGCAACAAAACAAAAACATGAACAAGAAACATCTTAAAGTGACTTCACGCAACAGAAAAATCCTGGAAAAAACAGCAAAGTCTTTCAGTAAAAACACCGCATTTCAACGCTGTGTGCAAAAATCCCAGTGGGATGCAAGTCAAACAATAACAACCACAAGACAATTTATATTAAAGTTATCGGTCTAACTCTGTACTACAACAAACAAACATGGCTAAACCAAAACTTTTCAAAATCACCAAAATAAAGCTATAGAAGCAATGTAACAGTGATTGTAGGAACTGATTGCTAGTGTGAAGCGGTCAAGGTAAGGCGGCTACAACTACTTTCAAAGTCCAGAGTCTGTATTGGTGTTAGGGCTAACCTTGACGCTGGGGTTATTGCTCGTGTTAGTCAAAACAAGGGAAAACCCCTATTATTATATTTTGATACTGGCAAAGAAGGTCTAATGATGTAGATGCTCACCCCGAGCCCTCATTACTTTGATAGTGCATTGTCTTTGAGCAGTACGCCTTTTGGCGTCCTCTGGTCGAGCACCAATTGAGACGAGGCTCAAAAGAAAGCTGTCTCTGGTGTGGACCAATCAGTTTCAAGGACAATGCATCTATTATCAGTGTGTTTTTTGTTTCATTTTGACCACAAGTATTGTGGTTAATGCAGACATGATTCCTTGTAAAAAGGTTTCAGTTTTGTTGCCAGAAAAAAAAGGGGAAAACCCTATTATCGTGTTAGTAGTGTCAGGGCGAGTGTTGGTTCTAAGGGCTATTGGGTAGGACCCACTAGGGCTGGTCTTTGGGTTAAAACGCAGTCACGAGTCTCCGTTAAAAATGAAACTCTGTTCGTCACTTCGACGGGAACTGATACTTGAGCCGCGAATGTTGTTGTTCAGCGGGTGTCAGCAGCGTCTGAGGGGGAATACTTGGCCCCGTCACAGAAACGTGGAATCTGAACATCACTTACTCCGTAGACCTCGTCTAAACAGGGCAGAGTGAATTCCGTCGTGGCAATGTGGATCTCGCCCACCGCCGTATACACTCAACTGAGTTACATGACACACCGCATCGACAAGGCAGGAGCGAGTCAATCCAAATTCACCAACATTGAACCATTGCAGATTTGTCGGGGAGCGGTGGCGCTGCGGTTAGTGCACTGCGCTCTAAACCCCAAAGAACGTGAATTCAATTCCCGACCACGGCTCACATCAGTGGCGAGTGACATGGAAACCCCACACCCCCACCAATCCAAGCTGACGGGAGTGGTGAAGTATGGTCAAACAACCCCCATGATTGACACGGCCCCCCAGGGGGGGGCCTTCATCCAGCAGTGGAGTGACAAACGGCTTCGAGTTGATTGTGGATTTGCACGCTCATTGTCCACGTTCCTATGACGCGGACCGCATAAGCGTCGCTGGACATCTGTCAAAAAGGAAATTCGTCGTTCATCGGATTCCTCCGGCATGAAGACGTCGTCTCATTTCGTGACCCACATCGACAAAACCATCGCCTGGCCTTGCCTCTTAGAGGCGCGGTGTTGCATTGCACGTTAGTATGCCGGGGGCCCGGTCATCCCACTGCGAACCACGCGGTGTCAACTGATGTCGTGCTTCATACGAAGCTCAGCTCAACTCCACATTCCATTGCCCGGGTCCCAGAGTCCATCGTGGCACGCAGGAGGAGTTCGATTGTTCAAGTTCATTGATTAGGTATAGCCTTGTGAGCCATTCGGCTCTTGAATCGGGTGCAAAAGCAACAAACAAAAAACTAAAACATGAACAAGAAAACATCTTAAAGTGACTATGTGCAAACAGAAAATCCAAGAAAAGACAGCAAAATATTGCAGAAAAAAGCACCGTACACGAACGCTGTGTGCAAACATCCCAGTGGGATGCAAGTCAAACAACAACCACAAGACAACTTAGATTAAGGCCATCAGTCTAACTCTGTACTACAACAAACAAACATGGCCAAACCAGAAAACTTTTCGAAATCACCAAAATAAAGCCATGAAAGCAATGAAACAGTGATCACAGGAACTGTGACGGAATTTTCACAATAAACGACATAAACAACATGTACTACCAGAACCCTGCAGCCACAGCTGGCTGCACGAGTCTCTCCCCAACAGCAGCACATCGCCCAGCCAGGCTCCCCACACGAGACACTTTGCGGGCCCCGCTGCTGAGCGCCTTGAACATACAAAACGATTCACGTGGCTTTACCGAAAGAACCAAAAAGTATGGATTCTTGCAGTCACGAAAGCTTCAAATCTATAAAAAAAAAAACGAGCTTTGCGGACGCGATCGGCGTGGTCGCCGTCGCATAAAAGTGACGATACACCAACAAACAAAAATAAACAATCGCCTTTAATAGTGATGGGGAAAAATAACCAAGAATAAAGAGAAAAGTTGCGAAGAGATTAAACAAATGTCACTCACCATATTTAACGCCGCTCCACACGCAACAACGCCACCACCTGCCCGGCGTGATCAGGAAATAAAGTGCCAGCGAATCGATCCGCCGAGTCGATTAGACGCGGAGGCGATTCCGCGCAATCGATTCCGAGTTGTCGAGGGGAGGGGCCGTGAGTCTCCTCCCCCTCCTCTTCTCCACCCTCCCCCCCCCCTTCCCTCCTCCCCCCCTTCTCCCCCCCTCCTCCTCCCTCCCCCACCCTCCTCCCCCCCCTCCTCCCCCCCTCCCTCCTCCCTCCCCCCCTCCTCCCCCCCTCCCTCCCCCCCTCCCTCCCTCCTCCCCCCCTCCTCCCTCCCTCCCTCCCTCCCCCCCTCCTCCCCCCTCCCCCCCTCCTCCCCCCTCCCCCCTCCTTCCTCCCCCCCTCCTTCCTCCCCCCCTCCTCCCCCCCCTCCCTCCTCCCTCCCCCTCCCTCCTCCCCCCTCCTTCCTCCCCCCCTCCCTCCTCCCCCCCTCCCTCCTCCCCCCCTCTCTCCTCCCCCCCACCTTCCTCCCCCCTCCCTCCTCCCCCCCACCCTCCTCCCCCCCACCCTCCTCCCCCCGTCCCTCCTCCCCCCCTCCTCTCCCCCTCCTCTCCCCCTCCTTCCTCCCCCCCTCCCTCCTCCCCCCTCCTTCCTCCCCCCCACCCTCCTCCCCCCCTCCCTCCTCCCCCCCACCCTCCTCCCCCCCTCCCTCCTCCCCCCTCCTTCCTCCCCCCCTCCCTCCTCCCCCCCTCCTTCCTCCCCCCCTCTCTCCTCCCCCCCACCTTCCTCCCCCCCCTCCCTCCTCTCCCCCACCCTCCTCCCCCCCACCCTCCTACCCCCCTCCCTCCTCCCCCCCTCCTCTCCCCCTCCTCTCCCCCTCCTTCCTCCCCCCTCCCTCCTCCCCCCCTCCTTCCTCCCCCCCACCCTCCTCCCCCCCACCCTCCTCCCCCCCCTCCCTCCTCCCCCCCACCCTCCTCCCCCCCTCCTCTCCCCCTCCTTCCTCCCCCCCTCCCTCCTCCCCCCCACAACCGGCAGAAGCCACCACGAGTTCGAACTTCACAATGCCGGAGAATCAGAGGCGCGCCATCAGGGCCAGGAAGGCCTTCTTCTCTGCGGGCCGAGAGATTGTCAAAGTTCGTTCCCATCAGTCTATGGGGCCGTCCATAAATGACGTCACGCACCTGGGAGGGGTTCAGACATTTGTGACGATGGGGGGGAGGGTGGTTGAGAAATGTGACGTCACATAAAAAATGCGCAACTTTAAATAAATATAGACAACACGTTCTACTTAATTAAATATACTTTTTGAAAAATGTTTTCTCCTACAACATCATAGTGCAGCGCCACATTAAATACGCACTACAATGACAAAAGTTTAAAGCGATTTGAAGCATGATTTATTTTTTTTGGGGGGGAGGGCAGAGCTTTGTGACGTCATATTTGAGGGGGGGGGTCTGACTTTTTGTGACGCCATGTGACGAGGGGGGGGGGGTACAAAATTCGTCCAAAATCGCGTGACGTCATTTATGGACGGCCCCTATTAACGTGATTGCATTGCTACCCTATCCCTCAAGTTGTGCTGCTTCCAGTGCACCTCATAGATGAGAGCTTTTATCCAATCAGATGTTCCGCCTGTGCTGTCACCGCCTCTCCGGGTGAAAAGTCTACCCTGAGGCCTTCAGAATTTCGAGTGAAACAACCTCTACTGTTGAAGCAATTGGGGACGATGTTGTTGATTGTCATTCTTTAACCAATCAGATGTCGAGTTTGCCATGTTGGGCGTGTTCTTGGCACGCCGGAGCCTTTTTGCTGGCCATGCCGCCTACGTCAGCATTTTTAGTGTGGCGTGATTGGAGGGCCAGTTAGCTAACTGAAGTAAAACTAGCTAGCACGTAACGTAGCATCATCTAAGATTTATTGAAACTTTCGTTCGTGACGTTTAGATTTTTAGATGTAGTGCTTTCGATTTTTTTTTTTTTCTGTGGGGAAGCCTGTTGAATCCTGATTGTGTTATTTGTGTTTTATGGCATTTTTGCTTGCTTGGTGGTCGTATGAGTTAATGTGACCGGTTATTGTGAGTTTGTTCGTGTTTCTTTAGTAATGACATTGATTTGGGCTATGCGATGTCTATTTGTGATGCAGAATCCTGTCATACTGCGTAATAGTGGTACATCCTTGATGGTTTCAGTCACCATGTATGCATGTCTCTGCAATGAGTGTATTGTAATTCTCACAGGTGTTGAGCCTCGTGTTAAATTACTTTATTCCACTCGATAAAGGTTACTGTCACTGTGAACATGGGGTGGTTACGTCGAATGACAACAGCCTATAGCCCTAATGTCATTGTGAGGTTATTCGAATGCGGTTTAATTGCGGGAGGATAGCACTGAAGGCCTAGGTGTAAAATACACGGCCCGCCACTGGCAGACATAGTACATGTCTGGTATTGTTGGATACAATACAGTACACACATGGGACTGACACAGATAAAAAACAATTCAACGAGTTGTAAAACGAGGCAAAATTCGATCATTACATCCAATGAAGGCCCTAAATAGACGTGTAAGGATGAATGGGTAGAGATGTAATGACCACATCGGCTGCAGAGTATATCTACTTCATGCATGGATTCTTCTTTTTCATGGGAAAAAAAAGTAACAGGAAAGGGAAGAAAGGAGAGAAAGAATGGGAAATAAGAGGCGAAGGATGGAAAAGGAACTGAAGGCAACTGGAGCAACGAGCTGCTTGGGAGAGATGAGGATCCACAAGGGACTCGACGTGACACGGAGCAGCGTCTGTTTTCCCAGGAGGCGGGGAGAGGGGAGGGGTTCAAAATGAGGGTGGTCACACGAGTGATTTCGGGGAGGCTTGAGCTGATTTGTCAATGTTGATGTTTCCACTCAGAAGTGCGAAGAATAAGTCTGCTTATTTCAATAAACTTTTATGCAAATAAGGGTGGTCACTTTTACCGTTTCTCAAAACTGATTTACGTTTTGCCTTGGCTTCCACGGATGTCCCTTACCTACATCTCTGGATCGCTTTTTCGCTCCATGGGTTTTTAATACTGTACGGTACTTAAATTGCCGTGGTTTAAGTTTTTTCCGTCTTCCACGTATTTTTTTTTTATATCTAGTTTACGTTTGAGCTGACTTCCACCGATTTCTAATGACTACATTGGCTCGCCTGATTTAATGTTTGCGGTGGAATCCGTGGATGTCTATCGGAAGTAAATTATCTGCTTTACGTTCACGCCAGCTTCTACGGACTTCCACTGCATCTGCAGTCCGCTGGCTATTGCTGTTGGGGTTACAACCGGTGGGTTTCGACCGATTTGACCTCCGCGGATTTCTCTTCCGCCAATAGTCCTGGATGTGTTGAGACAGGGATGAGGGTTGGGCTGGAGTCAAAGATTTTGCGGTTTAGGTAGAAAAACAGGTGTGTTTATGCGTGAGTGTTTTTGTTGTGCATAATGAATATGTATTGTGCATTTGTGAGTGCGCGCGTTTGTCTATGCACGGGGAGTGGTGGCGCTGTGATATCGAGCACTGCACTATTAAACCTGACCGCCTGAGTTCGATTCTCGGTCACGGCTAACATCAGCGGCGAGTGTTTCGTGAACCGTTTCTTGCCCTACCCGAGATCGAATCAGCCTTAAAGAATTACCTGTGTAAAACATTCACGCTGGAGAGACAAAGGCGGTCGGGTGTGGTTCTGGCCACGTGCGCCGTGGCGGCCTTGATCAAATGTTCTCTAACAGCACTTGGCCCAACAGTCCGATAGGGCTATACGAAGGATCTTTGTCTGTGTGCGTTATATAAGCAGACAAACCAGTTTGTTAAACGATTGCGGTGTTTGTGACTGAGTGTGCATATGTCAGTGTGTCTGTGTTGGGAGCGGTGGCGCAATGGTTATCGCACTGCGCAACTCATCCGGCGACCAGAGTTCGATTCCCGCTCAAGACCAACAACGGTGTCGAATATTGTAACCGGAGCTGGGCCACCCCGAGGTCGACTCAGCATTAAATGAGGAGTACCTGATGCCGGACGCTGCGTCGGCCACCCATCCCCGCGTGTGCCACTCCGACCTTCATAGGTCCTCTTGCCCCCACATCCTGTTAAAGGCTACACCGCCGGGGGGGTTTCTTTGTCTTTGTGTGCATGTGTCAGCGGCAGTGACGCAGCGATTAACGTTACCCGACTATCGCTAACCAATGCCCCAGCAACCCAAGTTAGATTCCATGGCCACCAGTAACCAGTTCTCTGAACCTGCCTTGAGCCTCCCCCAGGGTTACATTTAAATCAATACCTGGCGCCCCCTATGACGACAATGTTGGGAGTCAATAGCACCGCGGAGACAATGGCGCGGGGAATACAAAGGCGTTCGGGCGTGGTCCTGGCCCACCACTCCCTCGTGCGCTGCCATGTCGGCCTTAATAGGTGCTCGTCAATAGCACTTGCCCCCAGTCTTCCCGGTTGACTTGGTGTGGGGGTGTGTGTGTGTGCTCGCTAGCTTACAGCACTTGTCCCAACAGCCTGTTAAAGGCAACGCAAGGGAACCTTTGTTTGTGTATGTGTGACTCAGGGCTCGATGTGTGTGCGTGTATGAATGCGTACTGAATGCTTAATGTTGACTCACCGAGTCTCGATGCCGCGTGGAGGATGTTTGGATTGGGAATCTGAAACAATCCTGCGGCCAATGACAACGGTTGTGGCTGTCGCGATAGTCACCTACCCAGGGTCTGATGTGAACCACCGCAGATTCGTGGATTCGTGAATCATCTGTGCGGACCATTTTAGTGGGTGGTGGGTTCTTTGGTTTCCTCCCGCGTGCATAACCGTTCTTCAAAAGAAATTGGCCAAACTACCAATGCATAAATTATAAGACAGTGACTACTAATGCCCTTTATTTCAACAGCAACGCCTCATTGAGACTCAAGAATATTTTTTTCCACGAGAGTCCAACACTGTATTGGGAGCTTGAAATTACACGCCGGTAAAGCAAGAGGAACACGTGGATTAAAGATGACACGCAAGTTATCGATATCCCATATCGAGTGGGCTTGGGTACAGGCCACGTCGCCAAGAAGCGATCATCGTTCG